GGGGCGATGGTGAGGGGGAAGCGGGCCGATGGGGGCGGCGGCCGGCGGCAGCTTCGGGATGTCGGGGAGGGGCGGTAGCGCCCTGCCTGCCCCCGCCGAGCGCGGGGCCTTGTGGTCGCCTGGGCGTCCTGAACGCCTGACGGGAGGGCCTCGGAGATGCGGTTCCCTCTTTCCAGAGGGGGTGAGCCGGTGCCGTTTGCATGCCACGCTTCAGGAGACGCTGTCGTAGAAAACTCCAGCCGGGTTGTTGAAATCGGAGGGTGAGGAAACATGATCGATCAGCTTCAGAGGAAAATCTGGACTGCTCCGAGACTGCGTGCTCCTGCCTGCGTGGGAGCGCTCATCCGCTGCCCTGAAGGGAATGCTATGGGAAAGATCTTTCCTGAAAGATTTCTGTGCTTGGTCCATATATTAAAACGTAATGTAACTGCAGCCAACTGCATAAATAGCTTTCCTTCGTTTTTTGGTAGCTGTGAGAAACTTTCGTCCGCTCTTAGCCTGCTTCTGACAAATAGCTGGGTGACAAACAAGCCTTGTCAATTAAAAGAATGTTCTTCTGTGTTCTAGCAGGATCTAGTTTTGTTTGGCATTGAAAATCTCTCATGGAGAATGGTTAAGCAGGGATCAATGACATCACTCGGCAGGAAACACTCTTGGAAGAGTTGCTATCGGAGCAATCTTGCATGATGATAAAAGTCTCTCAGATAACCTCTTCAGTAGTTGAATACTTCATAGGTCAGAGACCAGCTTATTGAGTGAAATACAGACATTGCAGATACTGGATTTTATTTTTAGGGTGAAATTTCATTTGAGAAGCATGTTACCCATTTTTTATTCTGTGTGCGTAATCAGGATGCCAGATTTTTGTCAGCAAGTTCAGTTTCGTGTGAAACAACACCAAATTGCTTCAATTTTTAGCACCTTTACTCTTATCCTCCCTCCCTTTTTAGCCTTCCTCAGAACTGACCTCTTCCTTATTGTGAGGGGGGGGAAAAAAGCAGCTTTGTAGCTGTTAACAGTGAAGTTATCATGATGAGCTAAAAACTTTAATCTTAATAAACCTAAAGGAGGTTGCCCTTGTATATATATACATATACAGTAGCTTTGAGAAGCAAATGCCATAGCTGCTGGAAAGCATCACAAGTTTGAAAACAACTTCACCTTCTGCCTAGCAGAAAAAAGGTTGGGCTCCGGTCTGTCTGACACTTGGCAGGCTGCTTTGACTTCAAGATTGCTTTTTGATGGGAGGGACAGACTGAAGGGTGCTTGAAAACAATTTAGTGTCGTTTCACATGAAGCTGAATTCACTGAGAATAATCTGCTTGGAAGACAGAAGGAATCAGTCGGTGATAAGTAGTTTCAAATCCGTAGAGTGAAAGTGGGAGTGAGCTCGAGATACGAGGTGGCCATGGTATGTGGGCTGTGTGAGTGGGAACAGATACCTTTTTGGTTAGAGGGCAAGCCAGGGGAGGGACTAGAAGGGGAACTTGAAGCACTCCTCACTTGAAGATACAGCATATGCTGATGTTTTTATATTGCCATAGCAAATTATATGATCTCTTGAACTCATGTAAGTTAGCATGATAGAAGTTCTCTTCTGTTGACAGGTCTTTGTTTGTCAAGAGACTTTTTTGCATGGAGGTGTTAGATGAGGTGTTTATTTTTTTTTCCTGTCTGCTTTGCGTCTCAAAGTGATGCAGCTGCATGTGAACATCTTATCTTGGCAACAGAAGTGAAAATGACCGAGTTTGCAAGCATCCCGACTAAAGAGGAGGAGAAAATGTTTCATTTTGAAGCTGTCAGCTCTTTACAGAACACTTGGGCATTAAAGGAAATGTTGAGGGGAAGGAGGTTTAAAAAGAAAAAAATAATACACAAGTTGGTTTTTTGAGCTTTGAAAAAACTGTTTCCTGTAAATAGTAAGATGTCTATAAGCGGTGTGTTTGGTTTAGTTAGTTTCCGGAAAGGATGTGAACTTTTCTTTTCAGGCTTCAAAATGGTTTGTCATACATCTTGTGCCTTTAGCACCCCATGTTCATATTGCTTGAATTTATAGCCCGATGGTGTTCATAGGAACATGCTGAAAATTCAGCCACTTGTTAATACTGAAGAGTAAAACACTTGTACTCTGTGAAGCAACTGACAGTGTTTCAAACTCTGCACATCCAATCAAGAATGCTTCTTTTCTAATTTCATGTGTTACAGTGTGTTATATTGCTTTGTGGGTTATTTTCTTTGTTTTTCTCGTATAACTTTTAATAAACTGAAAAATATTATTATTTTTCCAGATTTGTTCCTGACCGTCCACAAAAATGTCCAAGGTAAGAACATTTCTGTCTTCCAGTGTAACAATGTTAAGCAGATAATTTGATTTTAAATATTAACCTGCAAGGGTAGACTGTGTACCTTGCATTGTGTTTCATAGTGATGTGTATGCTAAATGTATGGGTCATAAGTAAGAGACAATTCGCATTTAGAAGAAATAATATTGAAAGATTGAGTGATACAAAATGTGATAAATGGCTTAGTCCCAAATTCGGGTTGCAATTTAAGTTTACAATTTATTAAATGAATAAATGCAAGCAAACAGCGCTGGGTGCACCGGGAGCCTCTGCTCTACCAAGACGCACACCGTACAGTTCCTGTTTCTGGTTTATATACTTTCTGCTGATACACATTCATAGAAAAGGTGGGTCTATGCAAATAAATTCCAGGAGTAGGCTTACCTCTTTCTGCGCATGCCCTCGGGGTCTTCTTGGTTCCCATCTGGTGGTCTTCCTCCACTCGCCTTCAGGATTACCCCAGATTCCACGCCTTCCTCGGCTCACCCTTAGGATGACTTCAGATTCCATGCATGCACATGGCCTTCCTCGACTCACCCTTAGGATGACTCTAGATTTTTATGGCTTGACACCATACAGTTAACAGCAAAACCGGTCCAAACCAACACATAAGTATGTGTTTTACAAAAAGCAAAAACTATATACATTCACCACTCCATTTCTCTTAGGCCTGCGGTTATACAAGAGTATATAAGACAGAAAGTCACATTTCACCACACGGCCCTAGCATTGGTCCATATTGACACGAATCGGGTGAACACATTTCACATAAAACATATGTTAAAATAGTTTCCTACAAGTATAAACCTCTGCAGTTAACTGTTAAATCCTTCCCTCTTGGAAAAATTTAATTTTGGTCATGGAGTTGCATACAAGCTTCCTGGTGCATTTTCGCTGAAACTTCCATTCTGCTACTGTGTTTTGAGCAGAATCATTTAAGAAAAGGATGTTCTCAGATTTAATTTTTTCACTTACTAATAGACTCAACTGATCCTCTGTTAAAATCATGTGGTAACTGAAAATATCATTGACATGCTGGGACTTACCTAATTCTTGTTCTCCTGCATGTGGTATAATGGATAAAACATCCATATTAGCTTAGTGGAGTGAAATGAATGATAAAGGGTACTTGAGTAATGTGTTTGAAAAGGGAAACTAATAGATCTAGAGATTTCTCTGCAGTATTTGTAGCAGTGGTCATTTGAAACACTATTGTGTAAACTCCGATGCCCCCCTCCCCATCCTTTAAAAAACATCTCTAAGGAGGACTTCCAGCAGATGGCTGTCACTTCACTAGCCATTTACTGGTTTCATTTGGATGTACTAAAAACAGGTTGGAAATGGTTGCCTTTTTATTTAAATCCATAAGCATTGGACACAAGGCTTTTTATTTGAAATGTGTGTGAAGACACTGTTTAAAAAGTGTTTGATTAGTGAATGCACTTCATACATTGATAAATCAATGTTTGTGGGTTTGTTTCTTTTTTACTTAAGGTGGTCTTGGCTGCATAGCAGAATAAATTAAACTTTTTTTTTTAAACTCTAGGTAAATGTGTTGTTTGTACTTCATTGTGAAACTGTTGAATAGTAGGAACACCTGTGTCGTTTTCTGTCTGTATGTCATGAAATAACTGTTTGTTACACAAAAAAGCATGTCTTGGGCAGTTGCTTATTATTGTCTTATTTTATTTTATTTTTATTTATTTATTTTATTTTAATTTTATTTTTAGCAACAGCCTGCTCAGTTTACCAATCCAGAAACTCCTGGCTATGTTGGATTTGCAAACCTTCCCAATCAGGTTCACCGGAAGTCTGTGAAAAAGGGGTTTGAATTTACTCTTATGGTGGTTGGTAAGGAAATGTTTTATGGTCTTTCTCAAAATTAGTATTTGTTCATAGGGAATTTGGAATTAAAATGAATATTACTTCCACTATTGTAAGGCTTCAGCTTGCCTCAGAAAGCTCTTCTGTACTGTAGCATTTAACTGTCTTTCACAGTTTATTAATTCATGCAGCAGTTGTTTTCCACACTACAAACCATGTTGGAATACATTAATAAGTTTGTGGGTGAAGTGAAGAAACTTTGTTGCGCACTCCAGTGATCATTACTTCCTTCCTTCTCCTCCTTCTGTCTTACAGGATTCAAGCATTCCATTTAAAATATAGTTTAAAACTGGTTTTGCATTTGAATACAATCTTTGTTTGCTTGTGTGTTTTGATTAAGTGAATAGTATTAAGGAGACTATTCTATTTAAAATGCTCTTTATGCTTCTGTAGATCAAAAGAATCTGAACTCTGGTCTTTTCCCTTCTAAATACTCTCGTAAGAGAAGAATGAGCAGTGGATTAGTTGTTTTTGATGCGAGCTGTTACTTTTGAAATTGATCTTGATTTTCTGTTAGCAGTTGTAATTTAAAGTTTAATTCTATTTGATATTTCATTGAGAATCTGTGCTGGCATCTGGAATGGAAAGAAAAATCTAGTGTTTCTGCAGAAATACCTTGATCCTCTGAGAAGTCAGTATTATTTTTGCAAATTAAGTAGGCTCCCAAATCAGGCTTGGGCGTCTTCTGTATCTCTCCTGGTCAAACTGCTTGGGAGCTGTAACTTCTGAGTTTTGTTGTTTGAACTCTGTAATTCTCACTTTTAAAATAGGCTTTTGCAAAAAGTCCCCTAATAGAATTAGGTTCTTTATTACCTGGCGTCACAAGAAGGAGATCTCATTTGTGTGTTAGATTTGTCCAAGAGGCATCACAGTGGAAATGAGGAGGAGAGGTGACACAGTACATGATAGGAGGTGTTTAAGTTCTTAATTGTTTTGGACTCCAGTTGTTACACCTTTCATTAGTTACACCAAATGACAGCCCTAGCATTGCTTTTATCATCTTTCTCTCTTTTGTAGTTCAGTGTTGGACAGAGGTGGCCCATATTTTTGTCTTCCTAGTATTTTATCTTAGTTGTTTACTGTATCTTTCATTAGATTGTCTTAGGATAATATCATAATGTCTATCTTATAAAATCTAAGAGTGAAGCTAAACTATAAGCATGTGTTTCACATTATGGTGTGTACTGTAACTCTTCAGAATTTACTGTTCAGTGATCATAAAAATCTGAACTGTTCTGAGAAACAAAAGATGTGCTTTCTCTGCTGCAGCTAAACTTAATTTCCAGATCTCTTTGAGATTCATAGCGAATAGTGCTATGTGAAACAGTTCTGGCAGAAAGCTTTGTAAAATTATATAGACCAAACAGTTGTTTCTAGCCTCTTGTAAAATATTAAATAGCAGGAAAATGGCATGGTGTCAGAGTAAAAGAAAGGCAATTAACCCCACCCATCTGTCAGTGTAAAATTTAACTTTACAGTAGTTGCCTGCCAGTATTCTAAGGGATGAGTGAAAACTACACGAAGAGAACTTGGAGAAAAGTAATTTAATTGAAAATTTGGAGCCATATTTTAAGATACACTAGCAGAGGGAAGCAGTCAATGTAAGATAAAATAAACTGTGCTTGAAATTGTTAATGATTTCAACAGTTTGGAATGCAAATTCTTTCTCTTGAAATATCCATGGGGTTTGAGTATGTTCTCTTGTGGGCTATATCACAATGCCTGTATTGAACTATATTATTCTTTGTTAAATTGCTGTGCTTCTTAATTTCTGAGCAGGAGAATGTTTCTTTAAAAGCTGTCTGCACTGACAGAGTCCTAATCAATGGTTTTTATTCTTTGCATTGTTTTTTCTGGTATTTTTTATTGTGGTTTGTGAAAATATCAGCTGGGGTTTGTAACAATTTGGCTGCTTGGCTATGTTGCTTCCAAAGAAACCCTAAGCACTTGTATTTATTAACAATTTCATGTTAATTCTCATTATTAAGCTATGACTTCATCTCAACAGTTATTTAATTTGAAAGTTACTAAATTCTAATGCTGTGGCCAGTAGTTAGGATAACTATTCATTATTCCTTGACAGGAACTATGAAAACTGATTTGGATTACATGTAATATTTACCCAGACTGAAAATATGGACTGTGCTGCTGGTTAATATTGTACTTTTTTGTGTTTTGTTTTGCTGAAATGATGCCATGTGACTGTTGAGTTACTCTGACTGCACATCTCTTTCACTGCTGAAGGCTGCACCGGTAAAATCTGATCTTAAGAGATGATTTCTATAAGGCATTAAAAACTGGCAGCTCCCAGTCAAATCTTTATTTAAAAAATAATTCCATCTATTTTTTTTCTTTTGTTGAGATATTTTTATTAGACCATGGTTGCAGAATAGTCTGTGTTACTCAGAGGAATCATGCGACCCATCATTTTTAACATCTGATTTTTTTAATTAATTCTATCAACACCTGAAATAAAACCAAAATTCTAGAAAGTGATTTCTTCACTGAATTCAAGTACTGAGCACTTCAAGTTGCCAGTCTTTTCTGTGCTGTGAGCATTTGTTCTGATTAAGATCTTGATCTTTAGGTAATTAGTTGGCTTTTGAACTTTCCTCATGGCTCAGGCAGTAGCCCTAGAACAAAAATATAGTTATGGTACAATTTGGTAATCCCAAATTTTGTCAGTGAAAAAATTGCTCTTTGTGTATGCTTGGTGGCCATGTCATATTCCTCTTCCCTTAGGTTCGTTTGGCATGCTAGCATAAAAAGCAGAAATAAATTGGACTTTGATACCTGGCTGTGCACAAGTTTAGCAATGCCTTTTTCATTCTAAATTGATGATATAGCCTAGACAAGATCTAGCTTCTCACTGTGTATGATCTTTCACATTCTGGAGTGATAGCAGAAAAGCATGCCTTAAAAAATCAGGAGGTATGAAATGGGAAATTTCACAGAGCTCAGTGAAAGCTCTGAGAGTGTATTATGAAGCTGAGATGTAAAAATTGTTATTCAGCCTTTTTGTGCAAACTTTTCTAATACAAAATTATAAGCTGTAAATTTTATAATCACAACTAAAAGATTTACATTTAACATGAAAAAAATGTATAGTCAGATGATACTGTCCGAATACAGTTGAAATTAATTATGTAAATATGTTGAATTTATCTTTATATTGAATTACAGGTGAATCTGGATTGGGAAAATCTACATTAATAAACAGCCTCTTTTTGACAGATCTCTACCCAGAAAGGATAATCCCAGGAGCTGCTGGTAAACACACCTTTGTTCTAGTTTGTCTGTTCACAATGTATTTCCTGATACTTGAACTGTTTGATAGAATTGGTTCCCTCTGTACCCGGGATTTATTTGGGGTCTTTGTTCAGTCCTCCGGTATATTCATATTGGCACCTAGAAACTTGATCCCTTCTTTTGCATAAAAAAATGTCATTGTGTCACAGCAAGATAAACAATCAACTAAAACAGTCAGAAACTTTCTTTAAATTTTAATCCCTTGCAATTCTAAACATATGCATTGTTTGTATCTGCTTGGACTTGCAACTTGATTCCCTTGGTTTGGGTTGATATTTACTGAATGTGAACTTCACCTGCTTTTCTTCTTCAGTCCTTTGTCCTTTTTTTATTCTGTTAACCAAGGCATACAGTAAACCAACAAAAGAGAATATTGTAAGAAAATAGAGGAAGATGCTATTTTTTCCCCTCTTTGCTACTTGTTGAATGACTTGCTTTAATAATTTATCATGTTAGTTCACAATTACTTACCGCTTTATACCTTAGGAAGAAAATCCATTAAATATAATTTAGTATTGTTCTCCAAATTGCTGATTACCTACAGTTTTTTCTCAGTCCCTTTTGCCTTAGTTTCTACATTATATATATCTCAAAATGACAAAGTCTTATAAATTGTATTCTGAAAGATAAAGTTTATTGTATTTTAGAGAAGATTGAACGCACTGTGCAGATTGAAGCCTCAACAGTTGAAATTGAAGAGAGGGGTGTGAAACTACGTCTGACAGTTGTAGATACACCAGGATATGGGGATGCTATCAATTGTCGAGACTGGTAAGTACGCAGAAGTATGTATTGATCTATGTATGAAGACTGACATCCATTTCATATTTGTCCTGGGGGCAGGGAATAAGCAACTGAAGTGGGGCTATATTAATAATGATATGCAGTTCAAAATAAAGAGGCATCAATAACTTCCACACAACTTCAAATAAACTTTGTGACACAGATATTTTGATATATTATTTTTCTTAGTTAACTTTATTAAGTTTGGAAGAGTTTTAAGTGACCAATGACCTTGACTTTTTTATAGTCAGGAAGCGATGGAACCATTGGGACACAAGAAATTCAACAATACTCTGAGAGTATTGCAATTAATTTAGTCTATAGTGCAAGTAAAAATCAACCTTTAGATCTTATTCATTTGAGCATTCTCAGATTCTGCATTTTCATCATCTTTGGGTTTGATTGTTTGGGTGTTTTGAAAAATTTACATTATAGTAAGTACTGAGAAATAATCTTGAGATCAATGGCAGTCAGTTTTCAATGGCAATCCCTCTTTGCACGTCTCTCAAGCCCCTGAACCTCAAGGCAGGGACTGGGGAAATGAAATCCCTCCCATTGTAAGTGAAGAGCAGGTTCAAGATGACCTAAGGAACTTGGACTTGATGAGTGACTTGATAAATCCATAGATGCATCCCATCTCATTGGGTTATCTATGGCAGATGTAGTTGCCAAGCCACTCTCCACCATATTTCAAAAGTCATGGCAGTCAGGCAAAGTCCCCAGTGACTGGAAAAAGGGAAACATCATGCCCATTTTTAAAGAGGGCAAGAAGGAGGACCCGGGGAGCTACCAACCAGTCAGCCTCACCTCCATGTCAGGCAACATCGTGGAACAGATCCTCCTGGAAGATATGTTGAATCATATGGAAGATCGGGAGGTAATTAGACACAGCCAATATGGCTTCAGCAAGGGCAATTGTGCCTGACTAATCTGGTGGCTTTCTACAATAGAATGCATAAAGGGAGAGCTACTGATGTCATCTACCTGGACTTCTGTAAGGGCTTTCATATGGTCCCCCATAACATTCTTGGGTCTCAATTGGAGAGGTACTGGTTTGATGGACGGATTGTTAGATGGGTAAGGAGTTGGCTGGATGGCTGTGTCCAAAGAGTTACAGTCAATGGTTCAAAGTCTAAGTGAAAACCAACAAGGAGTGGTGTCCCTCGAGGGTCCGTACTTGGACCAATACTATTTAATATCTTCATCAATGACATAGTGGAATTGAGTTCCCCCTCAGCAAGTTTGCAGATGACATAAAGCTGAGTGGTGCAGTTGATCCACTAGAGGGGAGGGATGCCATCCAGAGGGACCTTGGCAGGCTTGAGGAGTGGGCCCATGCAAACCTCATGAAGTTCAACAAGGCCAAGCACAATGTCCTGCACGTGGGTTGGGGAAATCCTCAATATCAATACAGACTGGGAGATGAATGCATTGAGAGCAGCCCTGCAGAGAAGAATTTGGGGATACTGGTGGATGAAAAATTGAGTATGAGCTGGCAATGTGCGCTTGCATCCCTGAAAGCCATTTGTATCTTTGTCCGCATCAAAAGAAGTGTGGCCAGCAGGTCAAGGGAGGTGATTTGCCCCCTCTACACTGCTCTTGGGAGACCTACATTCACCTCTGGGGCCCCCAGCACAAGACAGACATGGAGCGGGTCCAGAGGAGGTCCACAAAAATGGTCCAAGGGCTGGAACACCTCTCTTATGAGGAAAGGCTAAGAGAGTTGGCTCTCTTCAGCTTGGAGAAGAGAAGGTTTCGGGGAGACCTTACTGAGGCCTGTCAAGACTTATTACCAGGGCCTGTAGTAAGTAACAGGGCAAGGGGCAACTGCGAGAGAGTAGACTTAGGTTGGACATAAGGAAGAAGCTTTTTACAATGAGGGTGGAGAGACACTGGCCCAGGTTGCACAGGGAAGCTGTGGATAGCCCATTCTTGGAAGTGTTCGTGAGGTTGGACGGGGCTTTGAGTAACCTGGTCTAGTGGGAGGTGTTCCTGCCTATGGCAGGGGGGTTGGACTGGGTGATGTTGTAACGGTCCCTTCCAACCCAAACCATTCTATGATTTAAAATCAATTTGGAACAAGAAGCTTAGATTCTCTTGAGCATGTGTAGTTAATACTAGTCAAAAGATAAATACCTAACCCAAGAGAAATTTCCTGTAGAAGTGAAGATGTATGTTATATGTATCTATATTTTATCTTAATTGAAAAAAAAAAATCATAGTAGTTTGTTATTCAGGAATTCAATTACAATTTTAAAATGTGTGCTCTTACAGTCTTACAGCATCAGTAAAGTACTTTTTGTCCATCAGCAGGTTGGTTCATCAGCAGAATGTCTTTGTGTTTTACCTTTGAAACATCACTAAAATTATTGACCATTTGGGAACAAGCATGATTTCTTGAATCCATATTTGTTTTACAGTTTTAAGACCATAATCTCTTACATTGATGAGCAGTTTGAGCGATATCTACATGATGAGAGTGGTTTGAACAGGAGACACATCATAGATAACCGGGTTCATTGCTGCTTCTATTTCATTTCACCATTTGGTCACGGGTAGGTGTTTCTCCGTCGTTGTATTTTTTAAATGATTTTACTTCGGGGAGTTGGTTTGTGCCTGTTGACTTCAATTTTCAAAATCAGATTGCCATTACTTAAGGAACTACTAGAACTGCTGGAATTAATCAGGTGTGTTCTCTCTGTGTAGGGAGAGAGATCTAGATAGCAATAATAATAATAAATAATAATAATAATAATGCATTTAATTTTTTCCATATTTTAATTTTAGCCTTAAGCCTCTGGATGTTGAGTTTATGAAAGCCATACACAACAAAGTAAATATTGTACCAGTGATTGCAAAAGCTGATACACTTTCTCTGAAAGAGCGAGAAAGACTAAAGAAAAGAGTAAGTATTTTTCTAGCTTGCCGGAAAATGTCGTACTTTGTTTATAGCAGCATGGTCGCTGAAGAGAAGGGCATTCTCATTCAACCTTATACTGTCCTAGCCAAGAAAAATAGTCTCATGCACAGTATAACATTATTTTAATATGCAGTTTGATATCTTGTAAATTCTTTTATTATTAACTGGGAAATTGTCCCTAAAATGTTGCCTGTGAAAAGTCAGATTGGCTACATTTACAATTACATTATGAATGAATTTGGAAACTTTGGAAAAATATTTAAATGCATTTGCTAATGGTAATTGCTCCCTTATCTGTTTAATCAGTTACAAAGCAGAGACAGTATCTGCATCTATAGTGTGCAATATATTTTTTTACCTAGTCTGATGATTGAAAAATAGGGTTTTCAGAGATTTTTCTGATTTTGGGGTTGTTTTTCTTCCCCTCTTCTAATACCTTCCAGTTGTTTTTTCCATAGGCAAGACCCCTTAACACATTCAGTCTCGCAGAACTTGATGCTGTATTTGCTGAGGGGGGAAATACGCAACAAACCATAATGAGTAAATAACAACTATGAAATTTAGAAAAAAAGTGTTAGAATTAACTTGTCAGAAGGCACATTTGATCCAGTCTTAGCTGTTATATTGAAAACTTTATCTATGACTTTTTGAGATATTCTGAAAATCCTTATGGTTATCTTACCCCACTTGCAATAAACATTGAGGAGTATACTTTAGTTTGATATACATATTGTGCTAGAATTCTGCAGAAATGCAGTTTGTTGGGGTTTTTTTTAAGAGCAAAATTTGGGTTTATGGCCAATGGATCCCAGCTTCAGATGCCATTCTTAGCAGTCATGAAGACAGAAAACAGTATTTGTTATGTCTGTAGCTCCGTTTTTTTTAACACTCCCATCCGTAGCCTTCAAATAATAATTCAGAGACAAGAGCAAGGAGTTTTAGCCTGTTCAAAGCAATTAGGTGCTTCAGAGTCAATGTGTTACAATTTTAAAAAAACAATTGCAAATGTTTAAAAAAAGGTCATTTTCTTATGTGTAATCCACAAAGGACACTACACAGCTGAGAGGCATCAGTCCCGGAGGTTCCTGGAGTGTGTGGAAGACAACTTCCTCACACAGCTGGTAAACGAATCAACCAGGGGAAGTGCCCTACTGGACCTACTGTTTGTTAACAGAGAAGGTCTTGTGGGGGATGTAAAGGTTGGAGGTCGTCTTGGGCTCAGTGATCATGAAATGGTAGAATTTTCAATTCTTGGTGAAGCAAGGCGGGGAGCCAGCAGAACTGCCACCTTGGACTTCCGAAGGGCAGACTTTAGCCTGTTCAGGAGCATGGTTGAGAGTGTCCCTTGGGAGGCAGTTTTGAAGGGCAAAGGTGCCCAGGAAGGCTGGTCTCACTTCAAGCAGGTAGTCTTAGAAGCACAGGAGAAGGCCATCCCCATGGCTCGAAAAATGAGCCGACGGGGAAGAAGACCAGCCTGGCTAAATAGAGAGCTTTGGCTGGACCTCAAGAACAAAAGGAAAGC